GTAAGCATTCTTTTGTTAAGTTAAATCCATTATCAGCATAACGTTTTTATAGTTACCTTAGTTTTCACCCTAGTTCGCTTTGATTGACTCGATTATTTGTCACTATTCGGCGCAACCTTTCGGCTAATTTATTCATTTTACGAAGAGGAGTAAGCGATGTGTTTAGAAAAAAAAAAAGAAAAAAGAAATTGCACAGAAATTAATCGCAATAAAGATTTGACGAGACCATTTGACATTTAGAACGGGATGTATCGGGATGGAATTAGGACTAAATTAATGCGAATACTGTTTTTACCTGAACGAATCATATATCAAAGTATACAAAATTTGACTTAACTTAAGATTTTATGACAATATGTATGCTCATATTTATGCGAGTTTGAAAAATGTTCTATGCATCAAATAATACGATTTTTTTGATAGATTACAAGCGGGATGACGAGACACTGGACAATGAGATGAACTCAGATTGGTGGTATGAGTCCTAATAATATGAAGAAGTCCTTCCTCTACTCAGATCCATGGATTTATTCTGTCAACGAAAAATACTTGCAGCAACTTTAAAACAAAGAAGACAAAGCGACAACGGAAGAGAAAAAGAATTTCTGTTTCGGCAACGTGTATTAAACATGTAAGATGTAACGATTAAACGCGTCATTTCTAAAGGCTATTATTTTTATAGCAAGTTTTGCGATTTCATTTTAATCGAATCAATAACTTTCCTATATTAATAATATCTTATATGCGAATCATATAAACGGAAAAAGTTATTTTTTACATATTTAAATTCTATTTTTTATATAAATTGCCTGTTTAAAACTAATTACCTTTTATTAAGGAAATTATTTCTAATGAGAATGAAAATTACTAAAAACGAGCTTATTGGATAAAAATATCATTCGATGAAATAAAATCTTATTTAAATTACAAAATATATCAATTTTTTCTAGCATAATTGTAATTTTTCCAAGATTGATGTATTTCGTTATGTGTATGCTTCGCTTGCGATTGTTCGAATAAACAAATTCTAAGTGGAAAATTTTTTCCTATATCTTTCATTTATAGATTTTTATATGCGTTAACAAATGCCACTTTTCTGCCATTTAGTGCCTCTGCAAAAAATCTACCTCGCTCTCGTCGAAGGTACATATCCATAATATTAAAAAATATCTTTTAGACGAGATTCAGATCAGAATGTAATCTTAAACAACGAAGATAAACAAAAATTTCTTTTTTTATTCAATATTCTATTTTATTTTGGTATCGATTTATTTATGTACAGAACTAGTTCTTTTATTACACAAATATAATTAAATAATACAACGTTATACGTATTGCAACATACAGAACATAATAAGCTTATGCGATAACGAGATTAAATAAATTGCTGTAATTTTTGAACTGGCTATAAAAGGAAATAATAGATTTGCGAAAAATATTTATATCATTCGTGTAATTCTTGCACAACGTGTTGAAATCCCACAATCGATGTTTACAAACTCACGTACCAGAAAATGATAACTAAAAGTAGGTTAATTCTCTATCTAATTCTCTATAGTATCATACCTGTGGAAAGAACAAAAGTCGGGTTTTATTTTAAGTACGCATATTATCAGTTCGCAATTGTGATTGGTAATAATGATTATCCACATTTGCATCTCTTTTAATGTTAGCTAGTTTCATCTAATTTTTATATCATGCTAACATATTACAATATTACATAAATTGAAATAAATTAATTGATACAAATTAGTAATCGAGTAATCGAGTATGTTTTTGTACAGAAACAATCACATGAAACAAGATATGAATATGTTGACACGCGTACAGTATTTCGATATACGTGTACCACCTGGTATATTCAGAATAAATCGGATTATTTCTTTAGGGCATAACGAGATGAAAAGTATTCTGTTTTTCTCGTACTCGTGTTTTGGTACTCATGCAAAGTAAAGGGAACTTTATAGTCTTAATTTTCTTATAAATATAAATATCAAGGTAATTCAAGTCAGAATTTATATATTTCACCGTTCGATTTCGTTTTGTCATATATGTGATTCAAAGTGATTACAACCTTGATTAAAATTTCTCTGCATTTTTTATTCCTTCTCCATCTGAAATCCTATGTTGCAAAGAGCACACGTTCTAAACCTATATCCTTTTCCAAATTTAAGAACGGAATTCAATTCTTTAGAACTGTAATAAAATTAATATCTTAATATTGATAATCTAAAAAAAACTCTTTATCTAAAAGAAATATTTTTATTTAAAAATTATATGTATTTCCCAGTGGTATTCTACGTCTACCTTTCTACCATAGAAAAGTTTTCATACATAGTACGTTTATCCACATTTTAAGGCAAAAATCATATTCCCAATGAAATAATTTATCCAGGGAAAACGTAATTTGTATTGGCATCTAGTTTCTATGCAACTAGAGTCTTTTCTATTTGTATTAAAACATGTAATATGTACATCCGAAGCACAGTCAAAACTATCAATTTATAATTTGCATTTAGTTACTAATATGAAGTACCGTATTACGTTTATGCGTTACATGATTTAGTAACGAACTCTGTTACATTAAAAATATTTTTCTAAGTTATTACAGGAATGCAATTTTGATATCATGAATAAATTTTTATTTCATTTTTCACCTATAACATCGAATAACAAAATGATATAGTTTTATATATTAGTTTATAAAAGATATAAAGATAATCCTGATTTTTTATTAAACAAAACTTTTTCTCAAGATGCTTAAAATTGAAATATGGTTTTTGTCAAGTCATCGAAAGATGTTCCAATGTTAACAAATATTACATCTTAATTTATTTTATATTCTTTAAGTTCATTAGCCACGCGTAAACTTTAATCTGTAATTCAGAAATATGTTCTCTAAAAATTAAAAAAATCGAAAAATAAATTTACTAGTAGGATATATTTAAATGTAAAGAAAATTTGAATATACGAAAGAAATATATTAAGCCAAGGGAGATAATTAGTTTGATAAAAAAAAGTAATTGAAGTCGACGAATATTTGCATTTACCAACATAGCAAATATGGTTTAAGTACATACTTTAAAATTTGATATATCTTTATCTAAGCTTCATTTTTTAAATAAAATACAAATTACAGGATTACATCATTATTTTTCTCCATGACTGGGCAACCGTGTTCTAAATAATTTAATCTGATGTTCAGAGTTTGAGAAATATTTGGTCCAACTTTTAAATGTTTACATTAAAAATCACATACAGAATTTCGTTTTTAATTACCCCCCATCTTCTGTTAAAAATTTTTTGTTTTAGAAAAATTTGAAATTTGACAGGTAATCAGGTAAATACGTTGTTAACTAAAACTAAAATAGCATTTTTCTACAATTACTTATTTATTACTGGATCAATTTTATGCGTTAATTCTTGTGCGAAGGTTATTCCATTTATTTCTATCTAACCTAAAAATTCAGATTTTAACGAAGGTTTGTGTATGCATAAAGCATAACGAGTTTCACTTGAAGTAATTTATTTATCAGCACAAAATGACATTAACAGGGATTATCACGGATTAAAGTTTAAACAATTTTTTTATTTCTTGAACGAGATCTTACAGAGAGAAATTTTTACTGTAAAGTGCACTTGTGATTGGTAATAGCACTAAAAATTAAACATATTTTATTTGAAAAACTTCGCTCTCGCACCACTATACAATTACATTTAATAAAATCGAGATCGGATTGTAAATTCGAGTGATGATTTCACCTACGTGAAGTGATATCTGTGAATAAAAAATGATTGATCCACGTGTAATTCGTTATGCCTCGTGTACACGTATATTTCTATTAAAATCGGAATTTTTAAGTATTCTCTCAAAATACATATATTGTTCGAATATTTTTGTGAGCTACTGTATATCTTACTAAAAAATAAATTATATTAATATATGTCGTATTTATATAATATTTTACATTATCAAGTATTGATTTGGAATATTAAATAATGTTGTAATTTTATAATACGATTGTAAAGAACTTCGTTATTTTTGAAAAAGTAGTCTACAGATGCAGAGAGGTTTTGTTAGGGCATACATTTTGTAAATTTAATAATAAGCAACGTATTTGCGAGACAAAACATGCAATTGCCAAATAGTTCAATGAGGGCGCTCGCGTATAGACAACACTACATATAGTCGATGATTGACATTAGAAACATGTAAACATAAACTGGGTCTACCTTAGATTGAATAAATACTTCTTAAAATTGATGGAAGAAGAAAACTTTTGTATTGACTTTGATATTAAACTTAGATATTAAAGTATTAAATTATTTTAATGTAATTTAATAAAGTAATTTAATAAAGTAAAACTGATTTAATCCTAGGAAAATATATTTACCTCTAAAAATGATATCCATTAGTAGTTAGTAAAGTTGAATGTAAACAGAAATATAAAAATGTTTATAAACTTAAAATGATATTATAAACGAATATTTAATATAATAATTGATTTTTTATTATTTACATATTACCTACATTACAAATGGCTCTAAAATTAAGTTTGGACAAAATAGTCACTGTTTTAACAAATATAATTCTTACACTGTACTCTTAGCATTTCATAGTGTATATAAAATATAAATACTATATATATATATACCATACAGTGCTGGACTATAAATATATATATATATATATATATATATATATATATATGTATACGTATATGTATATGTATATGTAATAATGCTTGGTAAATGGAAAAAGTCAGAAGTCAGCGTTATATTGTAACTGCATAGGTTACCTATTTTTCTTCGGAAACTGATTCAAACTGCCAGATAAAGAAAGACAAAAAATATAACGAGAGAAAGCAAGATAAATATTGTGTATCGAATAGTGACAGTTGAAATCTGATACTTTAATGAGACATTATCATTAGAAAAATTTAATTTTTTACAATTTTTGTTATTTTTGTGTAAAAATGGTATTAATACATTGTTGGGCGTCTTTCAAATAAAATAAGTGCAAATATGATATAAAGAAATATTAATTATATTAATTAACGTAATTTCAGCAATAAAATAGTTGATTTATGTGCCTTTGTCATCTCTTTGTACTATATCTATCTTCTTTCCCTTGGTTTTACCGATCCTCCCTCTTTGTCAACTGTATCACATATGCAATAGGTTTCACTGATTCTGAGTTCAAAACATCGAGTAGTGGAAAAAGAGTGAGGATGCTCCTTTACAATTTAACCAAGCAGATTGCATTACAATGTAACCCAGTATTAGTGTATGCTATTATAATTATTACATACACCTGAATACAGTAACCTTTCATACTTTAACAAAGGGTATTATAAAGATTACTATATTCAATTCAAAATTTATATAAATTACAATTATTCAAAATTATATACTAGTATAAATGTATGCGTGTTTATAATGTATTTATTATAAACATTCAGGTTCAGGTTTAACTTCACCTGTGTGCTTGAGGACTAAGTATGCCACATCCATAACTAATCCATTAACATCATCTACATTTTCACATTCTGCATATATTCGTACTATATCTTCAGTTCCTGATGGTCTACAAATAAAAATTTAAATTATATAATTGTTATAAATCTTATTAACACTATGTCGACCGGTGGCTCCACATTGGTGCCATATGCAAATTATTGAGCAAGCTCCGGTGGCTCCACGTTGGTGCCATTCGGAAATTATCGCGTAAGCGCCAATGGATCTATTGTAGTATTCAAAATTGTAGAACGAAAGCTAATATTGCGTGTTCTGTTTAACTAACAGAACGAGTAGTAAATTACAGACGTAGCAACTTTATGTTTTCATAAAAGCCTATGCCCTTCGACAATAGCAAACGGAAGAGAAGACACAATTATACGTGATGAGTGCGTGGACATCTTGTCTGATGTTCCATTCGAATTTGAGGATTGTGAGGAACTAGGAGACATTACGTCTTCAGAAAAAGAAAATGGGGTAACATCTTCGGATGAATCTGAAATACATAGACGAAGAATTCGGCGAACACTACCGTTGCCAAGTGATGCGGAAGAATCAGACGAAGATAAGAGTAGAGAGTGGTCAGATTTTGATTTACCAAGAAACAATAATGCATTCGAAGGATCTTCGGGTCCTAACGTATTTCCTAGAGATGCACAGAATATCGAGGATGTCGTGGAATTATTTATAGGGAACGACTTATTTGAATGTTTAGTACCGAAACGAACAGGTACTACGATCAAAATTCCACCAGGAGGAAGCTCGATAAAAAAAGTGCAAAATTTTTCGATGTTACGGTAGATGAACTAAAAAAATGGTTTGGACTGATTATTCTTATGGGAATCATTAAAAAACCAAGGATGGACGATTATTGATCGACGAATCCACTATTGGAAACACCAATATTTGGCAAAACGATGTCTCGCAATAGATTTCATCAGATATTATCGTTTTTACATTTCTCGGATAATAGTAATATACCTGATAATGTCGACCGACTCTTCAAAGTACAAGGTATAATTGATTATTTCACAAAAAAATTTCAAGAAAACTTTAATCTTGGTCAGAATATTATAATCGATGAAAGAATGATACCATGGCGTGGACGATTGAATTTTAAAGTTTATAACCCATAAAAAATTACGAAGTATGGTATACTTGTCCGGATGCTGTGCGATTCCGTTACGGGATATATTTCGCATTTCAAAATATACTTAGGCATTAAAAAACCTTTAAAGGATACAGTGATAAAACTATTGAAAAATGCTGGTAGAAAATGGCATCACCTGTATACACGGACAACTACTATAACAGTGTGGAACTTGCGAAAAATTTGCTTACGAAGAAAATTCGGGTTTGTGGAACGCTGCGGCAGAACAGGGGATTACCGGCAAAATTGAAAAACTCCAAACTAAATGTATTTAAAACCAAATATCAACGAAGAGGAGAAGTACTCGCGCAAGTATAGAAAGTATCGAAGACAAAAATGATAAGAACAATTTCTACCATACACAATGCCAATTTAGTTGACACAGAAAAAAAATGCAGAAAAACCAATAGTACGATTAAAAAACCCGCATGTATTTTGGATTACAATGAATATATGAAGGGAGTAGATCGAGCTGATCAATTTCTGAGCTATTATCCTATATACAGGAAAACCATAAAATGGTTAAAAAAAGTGGCGTTATACTTCTTTAATTGCGCTTTATACAACGCGTTCGTACTGCGACAACATTATAATACAGAATCCAAGAATCTCCACTTTCATGATTTTTTATTTAAAATATGCGAATCGTAGATGAAAGATCATTCACCTGTTGGTGAAGCGAACTTGGAGGTCCCTAGTACATCGCTTGCTTCCAGTCGTGATTCGATCAACAGACTTTCCGGCCACATAAAGGAACACCAGCTGATACGTATTTCAGAAACCAACAACCGAAAACGCAGAAGGTGTCATGTGTGTTATAAAAACAAAAAAATTAGGAGAACTAATTTAATGTGTAAATCTTGTGGAGTTGCGCTTCACCTTGGAGATTGCTTTGCTTCGTTTCATTTAAAAGATAAATACTAAGTATCCAACAAAATATAAATAAATAGATAAACATATAATACAAAAAAATCTTGTACTTATTTACATATGTATATCCTCATAATTTCGAGAAAATAGAGGGACAGGATTGAGACATGGGAACTGACAATAAGATTAGTAAACAAGAACCTCGAAAAACCGCCGGCGATAAGCGAAATGATGTAAGTCAGTTCTACCGGCGCGACACGAAAAAGTCTAGATTAGACGTGCGGACGGCATAATGTTAATAATAACTTTTTATCATTTTTATGGATTTATAGTGTTATAAATGTTAGTTGAAGATTTTGTTTCCACAAACATAATTTCATTTTTACTTTCTAATATTAAATATTGTAATATTTTCTGCAACAATATACTGAAAATTTGCTAATATTTTATATTAAAATTGCAATTTAGTTAAAGAGTTTTAATAACTATTATACATAACAAAAATTATATGTTACCTTACAAATGATCGTCCTTTGTTATATTGTGATACTAGTTCATCAATTTTATCTTGTAATCCTTCAGGTGATATACATTGTCTTTCTGCATTAGTTGTTTTTATAACACTTTTATCATGAACTTTTACTTTTAATTGTTTATTTGGTAAGTCTTTGTACATTCTTTCCCATTCTATAATATTCCAACCTTTCTCATGTAATATTGTTTCTACTAATAACATAATACTAAAAGCATCCCCAACTGTCTGGTTAATCACATCTATTATATTTACTAATTTAGAAACAGCTGCTTTCTCATTTGCAGATAATCTGTAATATATACACACGTGTATGTGTGTGTGCGTGTGTGTATGTGTATGTGTCTATACAGATATATTTCTTTTAAATAAATATTTTTTAACGAAGAAGAAAAATATCTCAGATATTTTAATGTTTCAACAGAAATATTTTAATAATAGACTTTGTATATACAAAAGTTTTTTAAAAGTCGTAATTACGACAGACTTTTAGCATCTAAATTTTTAAAGTATATTTCAAAAAAATATAAGTCATACTGTAAGAAAATTATGATATAATTTGTACACTGTTTTTTTGTACTTTGAATTGGTATGAAAATATTTTAGTTATTGAAAAATTATTTTCAGAAATGATCTTAAAACGTTAATTAGATATTTCATACTATATTGAATAGTAAAAACAATTAGGCCATGTCATAATAAGTAACTTATAATGAAACATTGAATAATTTTATATAAACATGTAACTCGTTTAGACTATTACATATAAATAAATAAAATGTAATGGATGTTAATTACTGTATATAGTTTACATAAGCACTATTGTGAGTTTAACATGTTTTAAAGTGATATAAAGTTAGAATGTTAATCAATGTAATATAATATAAATTTAAAACGAATTTTTTTCATTCTTAAGTACTATTAGCAGTAGTTTACAAAAAGTTTAAGTTCTTTTAAATATTCAAAATGTAATAGAGATTCCCGTGTCCGTACTCCCATTATCTGAATACCCTAATATATGGACGTTCTGTTATCCGCACATTTTGTAACGATGTTTACATACATGATACAATGTTTTTAGATGTATATAAATACTCTCCTGTGTTTGACCGGTTAAATATAATCATATCAGTAAAGTCTAAAAAAGAGCACCCAAAAGCAACGATGAGGCCGTGCCTTCACACGTTCTTACAATAAAAAATTTATATGACTTAGAAGCTAAAAAAGCCATTTTGTTCATTCTTATTTGAATAAATAAAGTTTAATGTAAAATAAAGGGTTGTTTTATTATCCGAAAATTTCAATATCTGACCACTTTTGTCCCCCTATTAGTTCGGATACAGAAGTCTCTACTAAATCAAACAAAATTTAGTAATAGTAAATTCATAATGAGTTAATGAACTAAATCAGAATTGAAAATTAATCAGCAGTTTTTAAAATATCAATTATTTTAAACTTACGACTATAAACTACAGATGGTTATAAAAGATAAATAATTTACGACCTCACTGTGTTTCCCGAACTAACTATACATTTATGTATTCATACAAAATGAGTTATATATACCGTTGCAAGTAAACATCTACAAAATAAAATCAAATATTGAAAAACTATCTTTTGAAATTTTCATTTAAATTTATTTATGTTTTTTTATAGTATGTCACAATATACTCTTTATGTCACTGCACGCTATTATTACAGTAGTGAAAAAATCATCATAACTAAAGCAACATTATTTGTATTCCTTTATAACTATTCCTCATAATTACTTTGTATGATAATGATTGATGATTATGTATTATAATATGTAATAGTAGGGCAATATAATAATGAAACGCAAATATTACTATTCACATATATATAAAAAAACTTACTCTGGATTTCTAACAGTATTTTTAATTGCTTCAATAACAGTTTCTTTAAAAAGTACAGTTCCATGACCATTTGCTTCAAAATATATTCCTATATCAAATTCTTGTGCTTTACTGTGAAGATATTTAATACCAGTTGATACACAAGCAATTGGAATTTGCTAAAATGATAAAAATATAAATATAAATATAAATTTAATAGTTATTCATATTATAAAAAGATACTAATATTTCAAAATTCTATTGTGTAACTAAATATAAATATACACACCAATATATTTGAAAGATAATCTGTAGAACCACCATTAGCATATGCTGTTTGTACTAAACCAAGCTGAAATGATAAACGACTTTCTTGTAAGAGTTCTTTAAAATATTCAGCAATAAGTGCTGCTACTCGATCACCATCCAAAAGATGAAATTTATCTTTTTCGTCTAAATAAAAATAAATTATTCTGTCTGCATCACCATCTACAGATGCACATCTAACATTTGGTTTGTTAGGAAAATTGACAGGTGGAACTTGTTGAACTTTGACATAATCAGCCCCACACTAAAATAAAATATTTAACTAAGATACAACAATATTTATTTTTAATTAAGTCAAACTATTTTAGAAACAAAGTATACCATATAATTTAATTCTCCATTTCCATCATTGTACATATTGACTGTAATCGTTGTTCCTAGATAATCTTGTAATTTTTTCATAACAATACCTCCAACACCATTAGCAGCATCTAATGACAATTCTGCAGTATATTGTCCATTATTAGTTTTATGTCTTAGACGTTTAAATGCTTCTGATAACTTTACATAATAACCATGTAATGTGGGTTCACCATAACTGCCATTTGTGTTTATACATACAACAAGATAATGTAATTGAGGGGTTGTGACTATACCAAAATTTTGCACAATTCCATTTAAAGCTATTATTCCAGTAGTAGCAGCATCTAATAATGCATGACTGCTTTCTCTAGTATCTCTACCAGTTATCACACGTGCATCTATAGACATATCAACATTTTGTTCTTTTATGATATGCTTTATTGTAGAGACTAAATTTGAATCATCTACATTAGCTAAATTAGTAGCTATATGTTCCCAAGCTGCTTCTAACATTTCACCAGCAGGATCTATAAGTTTCACTCCATTATCAACTTCCCAGTTATGACTTGCCGTAATCATTAAACCAACTGCAGCTACAGAAAAATTAATTTTTTAAAATCAAACATCAAAAATAAAACATATGATAAGTAATATAAAATATACAAGTGTGTACTATGAAATTTTGTTTAAACTTACCATTTTTAACTTTAGATCTTAATACTGCTAATAATCCCATCCTATATAAGACATGTCCAAGAACATCTGCTCTAATAAAAAATTGTAAAATATATAAAAATTATTTATACAAAATGTTCTACCTAATTCAATAATTAGTTGAGAATAAGGAAAGATATTATCGTATCAAATTAAATAATATCATAAGACAAAAAATGAATATTGAATTATCTTTTAAAATAATTATTTTTAGCAATAATATATACCTTTAATATAAAAATTAATATTTTTACTATAAATGCCAAAACCAACTTTTTGTATTTATTAATTTTTAAATAAATTAATAACTGATCCATAAACACTAATAGTATATTCATTTTTTCATAGGAAGGCAAAGTGAGTTTTGCTATTATATATAGAATATATATAAAATGTAAGGTCATTATATATTTTCATTTAACCAATATAATAATTTTAAAAAATTGAAATTATAAATTCATTATAGTGTAAAAATAATATACTTACTTTGTTCTAAAACCAGCTGTACCATATTGAATATTGCCATTATATTTTTTTACATATTTGTCATTAAGGATATTGTCTACTCGCGAAAAGTCCATCGTATATATATTTTTTGTTTAAAAAAATATGAATAAAAATTATTTTCACTTGTGCAATAACAGCTGCTATTACCGTATGGATTAAATGTCATAAAGTGAAAGTAGAATCACAAACTATAGTGTAGTAAGACTACAATTCTGCAAAATCAAATAATTTAAAAAACAATAAAAATAATTTTTTAGAAATTCAAAATTTACTTTAATATATATTACAAAATATCACAATAAAAATATACTAAATGTTTTATCTAAATGGTGAACCATTTAACCTTATTCATTGACTTTTTTTAAATATTTTACTAAAGTGAAAAAAAGCACAGATTTCTTAACAAAAATTTACATTACATTGTATTTATTCTATTTCTAACTTTTACCGTGATATACATACATTTGATACAAATAGTATATCACCCCTTATCACATATTAAAAATATAATATTATCCTTATCAGACAGAAGAATTTATCTATCTAGTTTTATTAAATTAAACTGATTAAATTTTTTTTTAAATATCTTTGTTTAAGTTAATATCTCAAATTAAAACAACAAATTATGTTGTCCTTATATCCCTAAATATTTTTATATTTATAAATTTTATTTTTTGTATTTAAACAAATTAATTACTTTAGTTAATTTTTTTATAAAATGTAATAAAACAAATTAATTAAATTGAAATGGGAAAAGTAATATAAAATAATAGATTTTGTACTTATGACACAGGTACAGCCAGAGTTCAATGTCATAGTATCAATCGTTTTTGAAAGCTAAGATCATATAGTAATGATTGTTCAAATAGAGGTTGTTCAGAATTTTGTTTTACTTTACAATCTGTGGATTGGTCCACAGATTTTGCAGTTTTCTTAAATTTTTTTTTGCAAAAAAATAACTAAAGAACATTTTTCAAATTCTTC